AGGTTGCTGTGCTCTATGATCACGCCACTGCACTGCCACTGCATTCTAGCCTGGGCAACAGAGCGAGACTCTGTCTCAAAAAAATAAAATAAAAAATAAATAAAACTTTTTTGACTGTGACCCAGGACACATAAATACCTATGTGAAACAAAAGCTTCATTAAAAACAAAAAAGACACGCTGCATTTTTACATGTGATGCACCCTGATAGTTTCTATTTCCTTCTTTAAAAAAAAGAAAAAGAAAAACTGGTCCATTTTTAAAGCTGCAGGACATTGAGTGGAGATGTCCGGTAGATAGATAGGGAAGTCCGAAGCTAGGCAAGGGGGCCGAGCTGGGGCATAGGTGTGGAGGCCGTCAGCGTGGATAGATGGTACTTTACCCACGGGAGAAGATGGGATGAGCCAGGGAGGGATCGTGTGAGAAAAGCACAGAGAGACAAGGACAGAACTCCTTGGGAGTACCAGCATTACAGTGGGTAGAGGGTTCGGATTCCCAAAAAGATCAAGAAGCAATTTTCAGAGAGATGTAAAAGGAAAAAGGATAAAGTCAAGTTAAAGTGACTAAGAACATAAAGGATTTTGAGGAGGAAAGGGATTTGTTTTTTTAAAGCTGGGTTAGTTGGAGCCATTAAATTGATATTAATTTCACATCTTCGTGGCAGCTTGCAGTTTAAAACACATGACATTCCTTCAGCCTGACCTGCCAAATGTCTTTTTCACTTCTCCCTCTCGATGGCGGTCCTAATCAGAGCCTCACTGCCTCTCACCTGGGCTCCTGCAATACCTGCCCTCTCCCTGCCACACACCTGATTTCCCAGCTTTCCGCAAGCCTCACCCCCTCCACACACACCCTACCTGTCCTGGCCAGCAGTCCCAGTGCTCCAGCTCCCGCCCCGTGGTGGGGCCTCACCTAAACCTTCCAGCTCTCTCTCTGCTCACCACCAGGCACCCCACTGTGGCGCTAACTCTCCTCCTTCCTGATAGGTCCCTGGTTGTGGGCAGGTGGACATGTCCTCAGGGAAGGTAGACCAGTTATGGTAGTCCCATTTCCTGGCACTGACAATTAAGAGGGGGTATGATTCTGTTTGGGGCATATCAGGGAAACGTTTTATGTCCTGATAAAGAGTGGGAGAGAGATGTGGAAAGAGAACTGGTGACCTCCCCTTTCTACTTGTGGCTCTCTTTGCAGGAGGAAGAGCTGAGAGGAGCAGCCGTCTGTCTGTCGACGTGCTGACGTGGGCATGAAGAGCAGAAAGAGGGACAGCGCTGGAGCCTTGATGACATTGTTCAACTGCTGGGCCAACCTTATTGTTTAAGCCATGTTAGCTCAGTGTTCTGTTATTTGGAGTTAATAACTTGCTGATTAATACACCCGCTCAGGAGCCCAACTGGGTGACTTGAAGTTCCCCACACACATTTCATGCTGTCTCGCCTCCACACCTTTGCATCTGCCGGTCCTTTTCCCTGGGATGCTCTTTCCCTGAATAACCTAAATTCCGCTCACCTTTTAAGGGCCAACAGGGATGCCCCTTGCCTCCCTGTCTCCCAAGCCAGAAGTATCCTCACTCTCTCCTCTCAAAGATTTGATCCATATCTCCTTCATAATACATACTGTCTTGAACTGTAGGGTTTTTATTTTGTTTTGTGTGTGTGTGTGTGTTTTGACTACATGTCTTTGCCCCCTTGTTTGACTCTCTGCATATTCCCAAGGGGATCTGAAAGCAACCAACTGGAATGTGTCAAAATCCATTCTTGATGCCTCAACATCCCTCTGGAAACAGAGGAGCTCAATGGCTAAGCTCAAACTCTGGAATCTGCCAGTCCTGTGTTCCAACCCCGGGTTCCAATCCTGTTGTGCCAACAATGTGAACTGGGGCAAGTGATGTCACCTCTCTGAGCATCTTCAGATCCTAATTTTAAAACTCTGGTTCCATAAGTGAGCACCCCAGCAGAAGAGGGATACAGACTGTAATTATATCCCCTTCAATATCTAACACATTGCCTGGCACTTTTGGAGATTCATTAAGCATTTGTTGAAGAAATAAATGAAAATCACATATATGACAAATTCAAAAGGTTAATTTTGTTTGGGAAAAACATTAAAAATTAATGTTCCTGGCCGGGGACGGTGGCTCAGGCCTGTAATCCTAGCACTCTGGGAGGCCGAAGCGGGCGGATCATTTGAGCTCAGGAGTTCGAGACCAGCCTGAGCAAGAGCGAGATCCCGTCTCTACTAAAAATAGAAAGAAATTAATTGGACAACTAAAAAAAATATATAGAAAAAATTAGCCGGGCATGGTGGTGCAT